TTTTTTTTTTTTTTTGAAAAGATAGAGATAATATATTACTAGCACAAACGTGCAAAAGACAGCCACTGGCTGAATACAAAGCAACTAATAGCTGGATAGAAACAACCATCGACCAAAAAAGAGGGATGACAGGTCACAAGATTGCCTAGAAACTGACCCCAACAGGGTAATAAAACCGAAAAAATACAGTAACACTACTAACAAACAAACACAAAGACCCCAATAGGGTAATGCCCGAGTGCAGATCCCAACAGAATAATAAAGACGCACTCGGGCTCACTGAGGCCAACGGCCCAGACCAAAAACACAATAAACCAACACACGAAACTACAAAGCTAGGAACTAGACAAAAAAGACACAAACTAAACGACCAAAACACAGAATAATAAATGAGCCCTTCCTAAGCTGCAACACCTAACCGAGCCAGCGGACACAAGTCAACCACGAATCTCGTAGCCAGAAGCACCAACCCCGAAACTGCCAAACCACTCGGTTGCCTAACGAAATCAAAGCCTCAACCCAGGAATCGCAGCAGGCCGACCCGCACCACGACCCCAACACCCAATTGCTTTCGAAAAGGCAACGGAGTGCCACGACCCCAACCCCGACCCCAATTCACCCGACAGCTACACAAAGCCACCACACCACCGCTGTAACTCCCCGACCAACACCACTGGAGGAGGACTTGAAACGTCGGCCCCCATCGACCCAAAAACCGAGACCAGGGGGATGACCTTGAGCAACAACGCAGCCCCGATTGCACAACAAAAACAATCGTCGAGCAATTGGGCCGTGTCCCGCCCCAGAACCGCACCACGACTCCACCTTCTCACAACCGAGAAACCCCATAACTAATTTTACGGAACGGCGCCGGAACGACGAGAACCGTCCGCCACGGACGAGGAATCAATACAATGAAAACGGGAGGTAGAGCAGAAGAAAAGGAGCGAGATCCATGATGTTAGGGGCCGGCGACCGCCGGCTAAGTGCGAAGGCAGCTGAGGAAGGCGGACGCGTCAAAATTTGAGGAGGGCGGCGAGGGTTTTCTGTTCGCTTTTTTTTTTTCGCAGGGAAGAGGAACAATTTTATGGAGTCATTCACCACTTAATGTACATTAAGGCTTTTCAATTTGTACCTTTGAAACATCAAACAATTGGATTATTTTTTTACGGAGCCATCCACCACTTAATATGTTGACACTTGTTCAATTTGTATTTATTGTAGATACATGCCAATAAACTATTGGTCAAACTGTCTATTATTAATTTATGAAAATTGTCAATACAAGTACAACCAATTATATTTCCAAGACCATATTTCTTAAGCGACATGATTTAAGCTTAATGAGTTATAAATTTCGCAAGGTTGTTCGTGTGTGATTGTATATCAGTTCAAGTCAGAAAAATATATTTAATTTTATTTCTCATAAATCCCATTGAATTTAATTCACTATTAATCAACTTACATAATTTTAACTACCTATCACTTCCTATAATTTATCTCTTACTTTTACATCATATCAACTTTAACTCACTTTAACTCACTAAATTGAATCATAACCGATTTAATCCATATCCAATCGCCCCTTAATCGTTTACCAAAATTTGTGGTTGATTAAGTAGTAGCTATGGAGATAGATGTTAATATTTCAAATGAGGACCACAAAGACAAATCTTTGGGATAATTACTTTGCTAATCATAATTATCATTATGCACTTTAACAAAAACACATTAATTCTCACATATATCACATTAGCTTGTAATCCAACGTTTATCATCCATTGACAATTAAAGATTGCAACAAAGAAATTAAATGAAAGAAGAGCTAAAATCACCTCAAAAAAACAAAGAAATTATATTGAAACATTCTAAAGAAGAAAAAAGTTCAATGTCAAGACACATGACAATCATATTCCATAAATGAAAGAAATCTAAAAGTTTTTAAAGTCATTTGTAATGTGGATTCAAAATGTAAGGTAAATTGGTTGTTTTTGTGAGCTCAACTTGTACAGACATGTCAAATTTGTACATTTTTCATTTCTGGCAATTTTGACTAAGTACTTAGGGGCTTGTTTGAAAACACTTATTGAGAAGTCTATTTTAAGATGAATTTTTTGAAAAGTGACTTCTCAATAAGTGTCCAATATAAACTTATTTGAAATGAATTTTTTGTGGGAGTTACTTTTCTAAAAGTCTATTTTGTTATTTACACCAGATATTTTTTATATTGGAAACCCTATATATTAATCCAGAACGCGCTGAGCCTACGTGGCTGCTTCTGGTGCTTCGGAATCGTATGTGGCAAAATTACATGCTTCGTTATTAAGCTTGGGTAAATTTTAATTTAATTCCAAACCAAAAATAATTAGGTTCGGATTACCATAAATATGTTGATTATTTATGGTCATGTTACATGTATTAATTGCATTTTAATATCATTCTTTATTATAACTATTGAATTGTTTATACATTTTAAAATTTAATAACTTTTGTATTTTTTATCAGTTTTGCATATGTAATATATCAAATTAATCTTCTTTTGATGAGTTTCGATTTAACATCCATATTGTATGTATAAAACAATAATAATTTATATTTATCTTCATAACAATAATAAAATTATTTTTAATATTAATTAGAAAAATATAATTATTTATCCACTCATATATTTATATTTCAAGTAGTTATATGATATAAGTTATAAAAACTAATATAATATAACACATGTAAGTCATAAGTAACATATTCATTCTAAAATATAGAGTAATATATATTTTTTTTTTTTTTTTGTAAAATAGTAAACTAGATTTTTATAGTTTTCTCATTAATTTTAAAATTTAAAAAATAATATTTTAACAAGCACCCGTGTAATACACGGATGTTGTACTAGTGGACTTTTATAGTCAAAAGTCCATTACAAAAGTGCTTCTAAACATACACATAGTAAACGTGAAATGCCCTTTGCGCGATTCCGTGCAATGTCCAAAATATGTCGTCCACCCCACGCGTAGTCATCTAAAATACAGACATCTACAAAATTGAATGAAGTTCATTGACCTCTGGCGGTATCTTATTTATTTGAAACCACCAAGTGAAGGCGCACCATAAGAGGGTTAGTCTAGATGCACTTTAGTGAGGTTCCATCCCAAAACCAATTGGTGATGAGAGAAGTAACTCACTAAGCTTATATACTAGACTAATTTTCTCTATAGAATCAATGTGAGACAATTTAGAAGTGATATTCTAACTATATTTCACTGTAAATCAACTTTTCAAAAAGTGATATGGTAGGGTTCTTTTGGTCCTTTCAAACAGACATGGTATGAAAATTAATACTTATGTGTTAATGAGAGATTATTTAAAACTAGTAGATATCCTGTGCACATGCACAGATGTACATAAAATATTAGTAAGTAATATTTGAGAATTTAATATTAAAATTCTAGATAATGAACATATTACTCCCTCCTATTCATTATAAATGTCGTTTTGACTTTTTTGATTCATCCATTTTGTTATGTATCTAAACATATTATTGTCTAGATACATAATAAAATGGATGAATCACAAAAGTCAAAACGACATTTATAATGAACAGGAGGTAGTACAATTTAAAAAATTTGATCATTAGGAAAAATAAATTAACGATTTTATTATTATGAACAATTGTTTATTATCATTAGATAATAATAGTTTGATTATTATTATTATTATTATTATTATTATTATTATTATTATTATTATTATTATTATTATTATTATGAAAAAACAATTGTTTATAAGCTTCTAAAGTTGATTGACTATGCTATTAAAATAATTTACTAATTGTTTTTAAAGAATTTTTTTTTATGAGATATAAAAGAAAAAGATAATATTGATGTTAATATAAATAACTTGAAACAATTTTTTATGATTATGTAATTTATATTTATTGTGAATTATTATTAGTTGGTATTAGCAATAACTATTATATAATATAATAAAAAAATACATGATTACACTTAATAGGATGTGTTAATGTGAGAAGTAAAAAAATATTAATGATAAATTTTGTAACTAAAAATAGAGGGAAAATTTTTAGAGGTTTTATTAAATTGGTAAATTAAATGCTAGCTAGCAATTATTTATATATATATATATATATATATATATATATATTATTATTAGAAAACAATTTTTTATAAGATTCTAAAGTTGTTTAAATATACTATTAAAACAATTTACTAATTGTTTTTAAAGAAATTTTTTTATGAGATACAAAAGAAAAAGATAATATTGATGTTAAAATACATAACTTGAAACAATTGTTTATAATTATGTAATTTATATTTATTGTGAATTATTATTAGTTGGTATTAGTAATAATTATTTTATAATATAATAGTAACATACATGATTACACTCATTAAGATGTATTAATGTGAGAAGTAAAAAATATTAATGACAAATTTTGTAACCGAAAATGGAGGGAAAATTTTAGAGGTTTTATTAAATAGGTTTTATTAAATGCTACATGCCAGCAATTATATATATATAGATATAGATGAGTGCTTGAAAAGAGAACAAATCTGCGAAGTTATTATTGCGCTTTGGTCAAAGGCATAAATAACCCATTACTAAAAATTCCACCTGGAGTTGTAAATGAACCAAACGTTCGCGAATAAAATAGTTCGTTCGAGTTTGTTCGTGTTCGATAAAAGTTCGTTCGTTTGTTAATTGAGTCGAGTTCGAACAGAAAATTAGGCTCGTTTAATAATCGA